AGGCGGCCGATGGCGAATGGCAAGCGGACGCTAGCGAATGGCAACGACCGTGAATGACAGCAACAGGCGACGACGTCACTTTACACAAAGCAGTGTTTTTGGAATTCACCAAATTCCAACGAATTCTAAATAAATTGAAGATTGACTAGCGAATTTCAAACACATTGGAATTTTATGTTTTATTTTTTTTCTTTTGATCAAACACCTGAATTCTAAAACCCCTACAAAAGGAATGCAAGATAGTCCTTTTACTGCCGGCCAAACAATCCCATAGTTATCGAGCTACTAACAATCAATTTTGTCAACTCACGTCCTAACAGTGTAGATAAACACAATTGCTCTCCTTTTTATCCTTTTTTTTCAATGGCTTTCGTTTATATGGAAATTTGGATACTTTAACTAAGTTTATTTGTGTTTTAACATGGTGCATATTCTAATGGTGGAAAGCTATTGGAGTGATTGATGGATGCGATGTAGCTATGTTTTTGGCTGGTTCACTAAGAAAAAGCAGAAGAAGTCAGTTCAACACAAAATGTGCCGAGCGTCTGAGTTGTTTTTCTTCTAGATGACAAGAAAAATTTATCATCAAGAGAACAAGTAAAAGAAACCATGCAGAATGTGGAGACAATTCACGGTATTTTGAGTGGTCCGATGCTATAGGTTATGGTCACTGTATAAGAGGGAGAAATTCACTGCTTGGAAAGGGATGGATTAAATAGGAACCCAATCTCCACTAGACAGCAATTGCAGAGCATGATTGACCCATGAAGTGGATTAAATAGGAACCCCGTCTTGGTCATGCTCTAATTTTGATAGAGTATTTATTATCTGCAAGCTGGCGAAACTAAAATTAAAATCTTTTGGATTTTGACAGGCAATGGTGAGAGATAGAATGACGTATTACAAATATTTTTAAATTAGATTAAGTGGTTAGATATGGTCTCCAAACTTATTTGATCAAGCTTGCTGGTATGATCTGAACCTATGTTAATGAAGTATATTGGTACAGTTCTCTATAGTAGTTTATGTAGTCATTGTGATTATGCACAAGTTTTAGTTTATCAATGCTAATCTAAGAATGCTAGGAAGAAACTGATACGCCTACACTTGCTTCTGCCCTAGCCAACCTGCAGCGAAGAAATGGTCCAAGGTGACT